GCGGAGCCATCCTCAAAGAGAAGTTCAAGGAGATTATCTTCCCTACATCCAGTCTGTGAGGGGTTTTTGAGGGATGGAAAGGAGCCTAAGCTCCTTGGAGAAGGAGCATAATTTCAAGCATAGCTTGCAGGTTTCTTCCTCCCACCCTGCTCTCAGAAGAGCGTGCCAAGGACGTGCTGCTCTGCAGCTAATTACGTGGCTCATTTCGAAGCAGGGCGGAAGCTGTAGCCACGGGGGGGACGGGAACTGCATCTCTCCATGTTCTTGGTACTGGTAATTGGAGCCCAGATGCTCAAAGGTCTCTCGGGGCCAGGATAACCCTGGTAACTTGGCTTACAAAACACAGGGCTTTCTCTTTGCATTTGAATATATTTTCTCAGTGGTAAAAAAAGACTAATTTTCCCTCGGATCCTGAATTAGTAATAGAGCAATTTGTCAGCTAAAAGGCGAAGCTTCTGCTTATTTATCTCGTCTTTCATCCAGAAAGCTCCCCAAGCACTTTGGTTTACAAACAGACGCGCAGTCTGCATCCATTTTGTCCACCGCAGCAGTGAGGCCATCTCTAAGGAAATGTGTGTCAGCAATTTGACTGCATAAGCAGTAAAATATACCTTCGCTGGCTGAATGCAGGGCACATTTAAGGGAAGTAGGAGGCGTAGTCATTACCCAGCAGGTAACTCTGGGCAAGCTACAAAGCAATAATTAATTATATTATTTTACCTAATAATAGGAAATCTGTATACGGTATCGACCGCTTAGCAACTCCCAGGAGCAGGTGTTCCCCGGCGTGGGCTCTGAGCAAGGCAACCTGCAGATCAAACAGGAGAAAGGAGCTGTTACATTTCCAAAGCAAACCAAGGAACGGGCAGGCATTGTACCGCATGAGCCAAATTCTGCTCCTGCTTACGCTGGTAGGAAGGCGGTGTAGCAATGCTGAACTCAGCAATTATCCTAAATCAGCCAGGGGTAACTGAGAACAGATGCTGACATCAAGAAACTGTGCTTTGAGATCTAATGATGAAAAGTGCTGTATAACAGCAAGGCGATATTAGATCTCTAGTCTTCCCAAGTCCACCATTAGTTGAAGCCAAAACCCCACAACAAGAACAAAGGAGGACATTTTTTTCCTGCTCTGGATATAAGAGGCTTTTATGTTTCACCAGCATAAAGAGGAAGGGCAAGAAAAACCCATGTCCTTTTTTCTTTTTTTTTTAACTTCATTGCCTGTACTGGCTCAGCTGATTGCATATATTCTGCTGCATGCTTTAGGTGGGATAATACAGTAATAATAGACACTGTGTCATTTGCTGGATCAGACTATAGGTCCATCTTCCCCTGTCCCCTGTGTCACACAGTGGGCAGAGAGCAGATGCTGAAAGGGAGGGTGAACTGGGTCTGACCAGGGTTTCTTTCCACTGTTCCTCTCTCACTTGCAGTCTCCAATATTTAAGGTATAAGGGGCACGTCTACACGTTCATTAATGTGCAGTAGTTACTGTGCATTTAATTTAGTTATTGCACATTTAGTTAGTGCTTCATTAAGCAAATACTAGAGTTACTGCACAGTAGCACCAGCAAATGTCCTTTTAGTGTGCAGGAGCCTAATAATACTGCACATTAGTGTATTAGCACTGTCCATGCAGTGTCGTGCTGCTGTCCAGCGTTATTAGGCTACTGCGCATTAAGCGTCTCATGTAGATGCACCCAGGATGTTCCACTTCAGAGGCTGTATCCCTAACTCCCATGCTACTGATGCCCCTTTCCTCCAAGAACTTGTCCGATCCCTTTTTGAATCCGGCTAAACTGTCGGCTTCCACCACCTCTGGCGGCAACGAGTTCGACATTTGAATTACACGCCATGTAAAAAAAACCCAAACTTCCTTGTGTTAGTTTGATCTTCCTTTGTGTTAGTAATGCAACAGATGCTGCACTGTGGAGCGGGATTCAAAGCAGGCTGCTTCTATCCTGGGCAGAAAATCAGCCTCTCCCCTGAATACACCGTCCACAATTTCAGGGGACTGTTTTTGGGGGGAAAGGGATATGTTGTATACAGGAAAATATGGTATTGTTTTCTTGATTTCAGCACGTGGCATCACTTTTTAACAATCAAATCTTAGTTCTTTATAATCCCTCCTTTTGTGCAAGGATTTTCCGGCCTTGCCTACTGAAATGAATGCAGTTACACCAAGTTCTGTGCTCTAGGCCAAGGACAGCGACCTTATTTGAAAGGCAACAAATTGAAGCAAGATGAAAGCGCCATATTTTACCTGGTCATCCAGCGGAAGCTCACAGAAAGCTGGGATATATTTGGCCCATTCCACGAGGACTAAAAGTTGCTGTTTCATAGACTCGCACACATCATTGATTGTGGCCACCTTCTTCATAGCAATATCAGCACTGTGTACTGGGCTCAGCGCTGAGTACTGAAAGAAAAACTAATGTGTATATGCGGTCTGCACTCGGTTTTCTTTGTCTGGCAAATGGGCCTACCTAAGTGTACATAATAATGTGTATTTCCTATATACATATAATGGGCTTATTTGCATGATATTGTATTAAAAATATGCATCCTTCAAAATTACTTTGCAGAATCTGGTCGGCTCAGAAGCAGCTCTGAAATGCTGGCAGTCTCCACCAGGTGGAGCTGCATCACAACAGAGCGGCTGGGACTTCAGCAGACCGTTTTACAACCGATTTGTCAGATGGGGGTGAGCGGGTTCTCATTTTTCGTTGCCTTCTTGGGAATAATCAAAAGGACAGGATGTGAGCACTGCACCCTACATACCAAGATGCAGGTCATCCCTTCCCCCAAGCAATAGGTTCTCATAAAATACTCTCCTGTACATCAGCTGGTACCTCTACCCCCCTGCTTGTCCTTAAAGACCAGATGGGAATAAATGGGTCTGACTTGGTGATCTGAAAGCCAGGACCCTTTTGCACACATTAAAAACAGCATCATCCCTGATGGGACAGATTTTCACATTCCCTTTAAAAATGCTTTCCCTCTATGTATCTGGGAAGAAAAAGATCGCTGGTATTGGAAATTAAAAGGGGTTTCTGTGTAGTTTCTTAAATCCAACTGCATTTTAGATTGGGCCATGGGGTAGAGAAGATGAAGGGAGAGGGCATGTGAAGTGGATAGCCAGTCCATTAATGGTCTAAGTCAAGAAGTGAAGGCTGCTTCCAGAGCTGCTGGAACGACAGCTGTGGATCCATCTATCACAACCCATCTCACCTTGGTGGCCCTGTTAAAAGCTAGATGGTGCCTCCAAAATGCCATCTTTCTGGATGGCATTTTGGAGGCACAATCAATTGCTAGGTTAAACAGGCTTGCTTTGCATATGGGGAAAAAGGTTACAGGTAGGCCGTCTGTAGCGGGTGCAATATTATCGATCAGACTGTAATGCAGGCCTACTTGTCTAACCCCTGCAAAAGCTGCAATGGGATCTTTAACATCCTGAAGATATCAGGACTTCTGTTTTTCATCTCACAAGCCTGTTAGCACTTCCCTGGGCAGACTTGTGTGCTCATGATCACTGTTGAACGGAGGGGAAGACAGCTTCCTGCAGCAACCAGTTGTTTGATGCACGTGCCAGACAACGACGGAGTAGGCCCAACCTTGGGTAGTCCGGCTGAAAGCCACACCAGCCTATCATAATGACAACCCAAGTATTTCATACCTGTTGTGCCATAGCCTCCGCCTGAGTCAGGACAGTGATTGACAGCGACCCATTATCCTCATAGCTACTCCTGCGAATGCTAATCCTGTCCCGTTCATTCTGTACAGCTTGAAAGAGGAAGAATAACCAGTTAGATGAGTCAGATCCTGGCATTTCCCACCATAAGCGATAGCTGCTATTTACTCTCATAAAAAGCCTGGCAACTTGCTAGTCATTTTATGCAGCAACAAAACACATCATATTATTAACGGTCACAGTTTGATATTAGTAACAATTTCCTGAAAATACAGACAAGGAGAAATAGTACTGGCAATGCTAGATTTGTTAATGCCCTACTGGTAGGAAAGCATTCTCATCATAGCCCTGGCAGCTTTGAAGCCTAATTCTACCATTAAATTCACACAGGAAGATGCTGGGTCATGTTCACCTAACACTGGAAAATTCACTATATCTGCTTAGAGGCTCCACTTCAGAAGAACCCAGAGCAACTGTACTTTGTTTCTTGACATCGAGGTATCCTACTATAATTTCCCAGGTATGACAGTAGGACTCAAGAGGAGAAAGAATGGTCCTTATAGCCTCTCCATCAAAGAAACCTGGAACGGGGATGGTGCATAATCTGTAGGCCCTCAGTGCACCCCATCAGACCTACCTCTAACACTGATTGTCCAAATCAATGAGCTGTAAACCCAAAAGATAATGCTGGTGGAGAACGGAGGGAGTAAACAAAAGATCTATGTATTTAAATACACACATTGCTGCAAAATCACTGCAAAGTGCTCCATGAACGATAGTCGTATAACCTGCCTTTGGCCACAGAAACTTGCCTAGTAAACAAGGGAAACCAGGTCCCACATCATGAATTGTCAGGCACTCCATGACTTGTTAAGACAACAGCAGCTGACACACTAGCTTGTCTACTGGATTTGCTTGCTAATCACACCTTGCATATAGCTGTGGAAGACGGTGCTGACATTTCCCAGTTTGCATGGAAGAGGGTGGGATCTTCCATGCAAACTGATGCAAAAGAAAATGATAGATAGGATAAGAAAATAACCGATAAGAAAAACTGATAAAAACATCACAGGAGGTCTTGATGGGGCTTTTGGGGGTCCTCACAGTCTACAGCTATTTGGTGCCTAGTAATCCTGTCTTCAGTGACAGCCGCCAGACAACAGGAAGGAATAGTACTGAGATCACTACACCATCAACTGGCTCTTGCTTGACCAACACTTAGCTTATTAAATCTTGCAACCACATAAGAGGCAAGAGAGGAGAGTTTTGAGTGCAGATATGAGGCTGAGCCCTCCCCATCCATGTCCAGATCTGGAACGTGCCAGAAATTATTTGCCCTTTTTTCCTTTGATTTCATATTTTTTGATCCTTTATGGAACCAGCGAGGAGGGACTCCACGTTGCTTCTTGTTCAATTGGTTCTAGCTCCTACTTGCTATTGGACTCTGCTTAGCATCATGGGAGGCAATATGTTTGTAGGCAGCTTTGCAAACGAAAACACTCTGATTATATAAGAATTAAGTATTGCGTGACAGCACGGCGAGTGAACAAAAGTCTTTTTCTTTGCAACAATCTACTTCAGCGGGGAAAAAAAATGCTATTTTCTCTGGACCGCAGAAAGCAGGTAAAATAATACTTGAGTAAGACGCAGCTTTACAAGAGAGCAGTTGAAATTAGAGTGATGTCTAATTTCTGCACCAAAGTCTCTCCCCCAGATCCCTGTTCTCACACAGAGACCCCCAGCGCTGCACTGAATGATCAATGATTAGACTGAAGGAAGGCTCTTGAACACAGACTCCACATTTCCCTGACAGCTCATCCATTTTTGGCAATGTACAGTTCAGCAAGTCAAGCCCTGTCTTCTTGAAGCCCAGGAAGCAGTAAGATTTAGCATGTGATGATAATACAGTGCATCAATACCTCCTCCTACATATGTGCTTTAAATCAAGCCTGCTTTGGCATATGTTTATAGGGATGACTGAGACAGGCAGACCAGACTTCATTGTGGAAAGCAAGACTTCTTTCTCTTGTGCAGCTCTTAGACTGATACTTTGGAGTCTGCAGCAGCATACAGTAAATCAGTGGTTTTCAACTGGTGGTCCTGGGGGGTCCACAGACTTTGTCTAAGGGGTCCACAAAAGATGACTAGGATCAATCAAATGCATGTGTATCCACACTTCCATTTGAAATGTTTTAGGGAAAAAAAAAGGTTGAAACCCACTGCCATAAAGTCTTTGGAAAAGGACCTTTTTTGCCATGTCTATGTACAGTGCTTAGCATGATAGGACACTTCATCTCAGAGCTACACTACTATAGACAACTGGCATCCATGCATGACCCCTAAGCTTGCATTGAGCTGGATGTTTGAGAAATACCAGTCTTATTTTGCTTCATTGGATAACACCTGAATAAAAAGAACAGCATGTGAAAACATCTTCCTCAGTCTAGGTGAGACTTGTATTCCCTTTTTGTTTGCAATGTCAAAAGCGACTGCTTCTGAGCCGCTTATGGCAAAATACCAGACCTTTCAGGAGCAGCTGATAGTAAGATGAATCTACTGTCAGGCTGGGGGAAGGAGACACAGCATGACAAGCCCTGAGGTCCTTTGAGTTCTCTAGTGACTTTTAGGGGCTTTGTTATCTATCACAGCCCAGTTAAGCATGCAGGCTCCTTATACAAGGCATGGGAGTTGTTCTGCTCCACAAAAATCCCTCATTCTGAGCTGGGAACCATCCCAAAACTAGAAGGAAATGCTGATGTGGAGAGATGAAGCTTACACTCCCACCCTAGGAGTTGGGTGCTAAATGCTGAAGCTAGCCCCTTCTTGGAAAAGATGGCCAGAGGAGTTGGTGCCCCACCATGATCCATCCATTCACCAGTTATTGTGTTGGACCGGCGTACAGGAAAGCCAGCTTCAAATCACTCCTGTGAAGCTTTTTTTTCAGTTATTTACTCATTTCTACCTCTCTCACCCCAAAATAAGAGATGCTCCAGCATGCCAATCATTCTGGAAAAAACCTGGGTTGAGTTTTGGGTGGAGCAAAGCATTTCATTAATTTTCTTTAGAAACTAGAAACCCACAAAGTTCTAAAACAATTGCAATACTTTGTTTCGACAATGTGAAGCATTTGGAAATTTCCTTTTTGTTTCCAGCTGAGAAACAGCAACGCTGAATTATTGCTTGAATGTGCGCTAACTCACTTATTGCCCAAGACAGTTTTCTAATGACAAACGCAGTCTCCCAACTCTCGAGAGAAACTCCCACTGAACAGAGCATGCCTCTGCTGCGGAGAAGACTTCAGATTCCAGATTTGCCGATAGGATTCATTTCAGTGGCGAATAGTGCCTTTTTATATTTAAAAAATATTTTTTTTTCCTTTAACGTGGCTTTATCTCTCTCCAGAATCCTTCCACAACTGTTCTGGGTGACAGATAAAGACCCTGGAAGCCTCTTAACAGCAACCTGTAGAGTCTGTATGCTTTCTCTTGAAAACAGAAGTTACAAACAACTTGGCCAAGTCATAGCTTGAGTCCATGCAACATTTCTAATGGTGATATGGAGGCTGGGAATTAACCTAGACTCTAGCTGGAACCACGTGCCTGTCCTTCGCAGCTGAATATATTGAGTGCCAACAAGGTGAAAGGGCATGCAACAGTCAACCAGTGACAAGGTAAATACCGTGTGTTATCTCCTCTCATCAGAAATGCAATATTTGGTTTCAGGGGAGCTGGGTTTAGCACGGCTCTTATTCATCAGGTTCTGTGGTGAGTCCCATGGTGCTATGTTCAGATGGTGTCGCTGCATGGGCTGTATAAATCTTCCCTACTTCTGTACCCAGGAAACATTGTGGGATTCTTGCATAAATGATTCACAGGAATAATATGCAATTGCTAGGTACTGGATGTACGTGTGCCTTCCAAGATCTGGGCCTGTCAGAGACACAGGAACCATCTTATCTTTTAATAATGGGCTGAAGTCTGCTGCTCTGTGAGCTTGGAGCCATCTCTGTAGGATCCTGAGCTGCTCTTATCTACTGGAAAATTTGAGAAGGGTAGTTCTTCAGATTATGGTTTTCATATGAGCTGTATTTGGGAAGACCAGGCTGTACCAAGATCCAATCAGGACATGATTTCACTACATGCTGGACAAGTATAGAAAGAATACAGTCCCTGTTTTCCTCTTCTAGGAAGCCTATACAGCAGCTTTCCACATTGTGAATCCAGTTCAGGTCTGATCCTTCAACCACCTCTTAAAGGAGAGAGGATTTGCAGTACTGGGTGCTAAATTTAGGCCCTGGGAGGAACTAGGGGTAGTTTGGGTTTGGGTGATGGGAATGAACAGCCCTAATTTTATTCTCGTGGTGCACACAGGAAACTGGGGTAGCATTCAGAGTACACCACCCCCTGATAGGAATAAAAGGAAAAATAATGGTGGAGAAATGTCACCATCCAATGTCAAACAGAAAGTACATCATAAAGTCAAAAGTCTTCTCTCTTCTCAAAGGCCCTTGCCTATTGCTGCTAGCCCATTCAACACAGCAGAGCTATTTGTGTGAGCAGTCTCAAGTGATTAAAAGTGTCTTATGTGAAGTAAGGTTTGAGGATTGGGCGCCATAAACTACCCTTAACTGCTTCTTTTATATTAGGCCTTCTGAGATTACACAGACCTATTAATATTCCCATGATGATCAGATCATTTAAAAAGAATTCAGTTGTTCCACGGATCTCACACAAGTTTTTTTTTAATGGTTTTTATGGTACCTGATTTAATGCTCCGCTCACATACCGATAAAGCCAATCTTCAAGTATAAGTGGATGGTACAGAATGACTTTCTCAAGGTGATTTTGATGTTATCACTGAAAGTACCTAAGAAGCCATGGAATAACATATCTAATGGAGTTAATGTTTTACCTGATTTGAAATCAATCTGTTACTAGGGGAGGGGTAATTATACTGCAATATTTATTACGCCTGTAAAAATAGTCATTCCTCTTGTGGCATCTACAAGGGTGTTGGCAGTTGTGTGATCTCAAAGAACTGCGCTTGGAAAAGTGGATGAGGCAAGCCATACAAAGCGTGTTGCGTGGAGGTT